ATATATATATATACATATATATACATATACATACATTTATATATATACATGTATATAATATATATAACTATGCTATTAAGAAACGTATTTGTATACATTATCTTTAAAATTTCTTAAAATTGATTATTTCGCTCTCGTTACATTCACCGTAATTTCGGAGCAGTCTTAACCAGGACAGCAGCATAAGGTACGGTAGACTGTCTGCTTAGCGTGTACATGAATTAAAGTACTATTGAGGCGGAAATACCTGTTGTAGGAATCATAATAGTCTTTCCTGTCCGTAGATGGAGGTCCCAATGACATAAGTGGTGGTGGATGACTTCCACTGACTAGATGCGGCAGCAAAGGTGGTATATTATGCTGAGCTGCTTGGTTCCTTACTGGATACCTCGGTATTGGTCTATCTCGAGGGGGTACATCCCTCTCTCGATCTCTGAATTGATAATCATGTGCTGGTGAATCATTGTAATAACTATTGTATCCTTCTCTAGGTTCACGTGATCTTGGTCGATCTCTTTCACGATCCCTCTCTCTTTGGAATCTGAATACATTATTCATAATTATTATAAGTAAATCATAATTCTTTAGTAGTTCTTTAAAATAAACATATAAAATAATGTAACTATACCTTGGAGGTGATCTAGCTGGTGATCGATATCTAGGTAGTATTTCTCTGTCTCGTTCACGATCGCGTTCACGATCGCGTTCACGATCGCGTTCACGTTCACGTTCACGTTCACGTTCGCGATCCCGTTCACGTTCACGATCACGATCACGATCTCGATCTCGATCACGGTCGCGATCACGATCACGATCTCTATCACGATCACGATCACGATCACGGTCACGATCTCGATCTCGATCACGGTCGCGGTCGCGATCACGGTCACGGTCACGGTCACGGTCACGGTCACGATCTCGATCTCGATCTCGATCTCGATCTCTTTCTCTATCCCTCTCTCTGTCTCGTGACAAAGATAATCTCGGAGATTGACTACGTGAATATGATCTAGACCTGTAAATAATATAAAAAGTTTTATTTCAGATCATGAATAATAAAGCAATGTGAAAAATTTAACTCACCGACTAATTGAGAAACTTCCACTTCTTGATCTACGTTTCGGTGTACGACTTCGCGCTCTTAGAGGTAACGGTGATCTTGAAGATCTTCGTTTTGAAGGAGGGCTTCTAGATCGACTTAAACGACCTGGGAATGGCGATCGACGACTAAACGAGCGTGATCGAGATCTACTGTAACTACGAGATCTTGATCGTGTTCTACTTCTTCTTCTATGTTTTCCTAATCTTCTGTCTCGCTCATCTTTCTCTCTAAGCATTCGCTCAAAAGCTTCTAATGGATCATCAATTATACTAAAAAATAATATTAATATTATAATAATATACAAATTTATTTTCTTAGAAACTAATAGCATTCATTTTATTAAATTCCCTTCATTAAAATATATCAACTTACCCAGGTGGATTGCCATTATGAATATTTCTACTTAACCCTGGTGGTGGTGGTTGTAATCCCCTATAACTAACTAAAAAAAAAAAGGAAAAGTTTAAAAATATTTTGAACCAAATAATTATGATTTAAAGATTGCTTTGAAATATTACTTACGATGATGTAATCCTCTAATTGGCCTTGGTGGTCCATTGTAATTTCGAGGTGGTTGTGACGGTCTGTATCCTTGTTGTTGATAAGGCGGTCTTTCATATCGTGGAGGTCCATAATGTGAACCTTGCTGATGGGGATACATAGGTATTCGATGACTCATATATGGATCTGGTAATAAAGGTGGATTATGTGGAGGTACATTAGGTGGAGGTTGATTATAACTTGGTTGAGGAATACGATCTTCTCCTGGTGGAAAAGGTAAAAGAGGTGGCTGATTACCAGAAGAAGACACATGTAAATGTGGTTCATCAACCTGAAATAATGATACAAATATGAAAATTCAATACAAAAATAAAAATAAAAAATTTATCACAAAAATAAAAAATTCCAAGCTCACTGTTGGAGTTCCTGGACGATCTTCAGTTGACCTGCGTATAGCATTGTCATAATGTATATTAGGTGGATAATGCCCATCATCAGATGGTAATCCTTGATAATTTTTTGATGGTGGTGGATTCATCAAGTGTGGCAAAGGTGGTCCTTGTGAACTATAATCACTATTATGTTGTGAATGTCTAGGCGACAACGATCGTCTTCGATTTACTGGCCGCAAGTTTTCGATTCTACGACCACGTTCTCCACTTCTAAAGGATAACAATAAATTGAAGGTTGTATTGAGAGTTTACTACTGTGATTAATTAGGTTAGGTTACATAATTTGCATAGAATGCTATTATATAAAATATATAAAAAATTTATATAAATTATAAAATTAATCCCAGATTTTATTTTCTCATTTAAAAATTTTTACCTATCGCGATGTCCGTCTCTGCTAAAACTTCGCCTACGTTCTCTTGATTGTCTTTCACCTGGATATTCATTCTCGCGTTCTTTTTTTTCGCGACTTGGAGGATCGCTTCTTTCTCTATCTCTCTCTGGTGAACTACCAATTGCAGGTATTGGAAGTAATGGTTCAGTTCCTGGAGGTGGTGGAACTTCTGTTTCCTCATCTGTTGTTAACTTTGTTACAGAATCACTTTGCAAATCAGTTTCCGATGCTGTTTCTGGAACAGCTATTAAAAAATAATATTTAATATAACGATTTGTATATCACATTCTCGCATTGATTGTCGAGAAATTCAAAACGTGAATTATCTCTATGTTTGAGGTTAAACATAACCTTAAATATAGAGATAACATAAGGTAATTAAGTTTTGAATACAACTTTATAGTTAACTTTTAATTATATTTAACCAATATTGTACATAGTATGCAACAATTAAATTTCTATACGTAATACGAAACAGATTCTCTTGTAAAGGTAAAAAATGTAAAAATGAAATCTTTTTCATTTTGTAATTTTATTAACAAGATATAATTTTGTAAAAAAAATTGTATCAAAAATCATTTTTTTCCACCTTAACAATATAAGAATAAGAAGTTTTCTTTAAGAATAAATTTTGGCATTCGTTTCATTTGTAGTTTGTGTTTCATTTTATGCATCATTTCATATTACAAAAGCTATGTAAAAAAAATCTAACTATGTAATGATACTACTTACTTGTTGTTGATGGTTGTGCAGCTCTTGCTGGAAATTGCTGTTGAGTAGTTTCAAAATTTGTTGTTTGTGATTCTGTATATTCTTGAGAGGGCACATTAGCTGTATTTGAAGATTGGGCAGCTTTACTTTGATTCGACACTTGACTTGTTGCTTGGTCAGCCTTTTGTTGTTCTAATTGTACTGCGGGCTGTCTGTTTGTTTGTAAAGATTGTCTATATGTCTGCCTTTTAGCATATCCAGTCTCGTTCTTAAAATTCATTACAGCATTTCGCAAAAAGCGATTAGGAATAAGAGTTTCTGGTGAAACATCCTTCTCGCTACAATCTGGACATTCATGTTCTTCAGATTCTAATAAAAATGTCCGAATACCTGTTTTATATATATATATATATAAATTTATTAAAAATTAACTATAAATTCTAATAACTATAAATATACTAAAATTTTAAAAATTACATTCATCACAAAATGAATTTCCACAACATGGTATCATTACTGCATCCGTTAAAAGATCTTTGCAAATATTGCACAATAGATCCTCTGGAATTTCTGGTTTTTCTACAGCAGGTTCTGGATCTTGTGAAAATGGTGGACGTTCCTTTTTACCTTCTTTATAAGCTTGACTGGAAATATAAGAAATATAGTTAATATATTTATCAATACTATGCATTTATCAGTTTTATTAATCGTTTTTTTATATTAAAACATACTGATCAATAGCTGGTACAGCGTATTGACCCGTTGGTGTCATCATAGCACCAGGAACTCTTGGTCCTTCAACTGGAACCATGAAACTTCTAGGAATACCTGTACTTTTCTTAATTTCTATAGGTTCCTGATTTGTCCCAAGCGGACAATTTTTAATCCAATGTCCAGGTTGATGGCATTTGTAACAACGATAATTTGCAGGTACATCGCCAGTTTGATTGGCTCCACGTATTTTCATGTAACTGTTAAAGATATATATTACACGTAGAATTTTAGTATATCGACATAACTCGAAATAGAAAACAAAAAAAAAAAATAAATAATATATACAGAATAGAGTACAATAAAAATTTTGTTTTTAAAATGACATACTTTGATGGATCATAATCTTGCGTAGATTGAGTCATCATTGCCCGAATCTTGTCTTCTTCAGAGCCATCAAGCCTTGTAAGATCTACAGCTCTGCCTAAATTGGATTCATCTTTTAAGTTACTGAACGAAGGAGCATCATTTCTATCCCATGATCGTTTCTGTTGTACTGTTAATGGTACTCTAGCAACAATAAGGCTAGTATTTTTTGCAATTAATGCATTATCATCTGTATAATCTGAAAGAATCATTTATCACATTGTACAAAAATTGTTTTCATAAAAATAACATTATCATTATTTGTTAACAAATAAATAAGAAATGATAAAATATTCTATATTTGCCTTCCTTAGTTTGTGCATTTGTTATTTGCAAATCAAAATCAGTGTTCTTTCCTATACGTTTCTGATGAAAAATAGCTTTCTTTAAATCCGCCACAGAAATATGCAATCCATCAAAAGACACAGTGTCATAATCTAAAGTAGATTTGAATTTATAATGTACTGACATTTTCGTTATTTATATATCCTGAAAAACAAACAATGAAAAAATAAACTAATAATTATTTAATATAAAATAATATAAAAATAATTGAAAATACATATTCTCATTAATGGGAAAAAACAAATTTTAATAAGTTCTTTGCTTCAATTAACAAATTTTAATATAGTTCTTTGCTTCAATTAACAAATTTTTCACGAATATTCAAAATGTATAAGATATTTCAAAACTTATACAAATTACATTTAATAAAATTTTCATAAAATATTTTACACTAAATAACCAAATAACAAGTTAATTTATTTTATAAACTGCTCAAATATTCTCTTAATTACTGTTTGTCCAAAATATGCTACATCAATATTCTTTTCCTTTAGCTTAAAAATTTAATGACATTGGTTGATTGCAAAAGTTCATGTCCAATTTTTAAAGATGTTTTATCTTCAAATTAGGCACGAATTTTTGCACTTATCCAATAACAATGTTCATCATTTTTATACAAACTCAAACTAAATACTTTATACATATAATTTTGCATCACATAGTTATTTTAGTACAACTCATGTACAATTTCCTTTTACTAATATAAATTCTATATATATTTTAACACTACCTTACATTTGTATATAAATAAATAAATGTTATGTAAATTGATTTAAAAATACCACTTATAATTTATCATTAACATTAATAATATTAATACAATTTTATATTACACTACATACTACTACATTTGTGTGCTGCACGCGCGTGCAATATTAAAATATTTCGTATGAGCATTGAGTTTTTTAAAAAAAATATTATGGATAAATGATTTATTTTTCAATGATAATACAATCCGTACACACATCCGCAATAAATTCAAATATATACGAAAGTCTGGTATATATATATATATATATATAATATATGTATGTATGTTATACATATCACACATACGTATATACACGAATCACACATGCACACGCGCGCGCGCGCGCGTGCGTGTGTGTGTGCGTACATATCACAAGCATTGAGAAACGTAAATAATGAATCTTTTCTGTGCGATAATTTAATAAGATTAAGAATACGCGACATTAACTAATTAAAAATATATTAAAATTATTAGTAAGGTTAAGGATCGATGTTACAAAATGAATGTAAACTGAAATAAGAATGAAAAGAGAAAGGAGAGAAAATTATTATTTATTCACTACAAATACTCACTACAAAATGAATAATAAATTCAAATAATGAAAGCGATAAATGTATTTTCATCCAATACATACAAATATGATTTCCAACTTGTAGCATGTTGCAAGGGATAGTCAATTTTTGAAACAGTCTTTATAAACTCCGAAATCATCAAATATCTAACCTGTATACACATATACGTACTGACTCTGATAAAAGCAAGGCATTCCGAACAAAACACTGCAATCGCAAAACCGAAAAACACCAAGTGAATAATTCAATCGTCTATAGTAGCAATGACACAGTGAGTTTATAGATGGCACAATCGATAACGTATACATGTTATTTCTTACGTCCAAAATAATAAAACAATGCGTTTACTGCATTTTCGTTATTCAGAAAAGGAAAATAATGTTATGGAATGATAAATCATTGTATATTATTTGTTAAATTCAAATAAATAAGTTATATCTTCTGTACATTCTTAGTACTTTTATATTACGCGACATAACACACTATACAAAGTATAGATAGACGCCGAATGTATCATCGAGACGGTCTAGGGATATTACATTTAATCAAAATTTCCATCAAAACGTAAAAACAATTCTCTCATGAATAAGTTATATAATTAATGCACAACTTATTGATAAGAGTTTGTCTTGTAACAAGATTTGTCATAAGAGATATATTTGATTAAAGTATAAAAATTATACATGTACGTTTTAATAGGGGAAAAAATGAATAATTCTTTGTATTTAAGAGATTAATGACAATCAGTACTTAATGTTGCATTTT